AAAAAAATGATACTGCTCTCTGATACCGCCCGAGGTATACACCGCCTCCATCTTGATTATATAAGTATATCCTGTCACGTGGCTGTGATTTGCCAGGGTCACCCCAAAGAAGTAGGCGGTATATATCTGATGAGCTCTGCAGACCAGCCCTGCGTCCTTTCGGGCATATACAACATATGTTGTAGTCAATGAGAATATACAACAAAGACGCTTAATAAGAAAGCCATTTTTCTAAGGTCCCTTATAAGAGGTTATACGGATGGCCTTTAGTATGTACATATGATTGGTCTTGCGGGGTTGGGAAGTCACGTGGGATACTCTATGTTGAGGTCGAATGCTCGAAACGGACTAGCCGCGGTTACATTTCATTGGATAGACAGTGGACCGCCTGGACCCTTATCAGATCACGTGGCTATGGATGACGTGGAGTATCCAGCTAGGAAATCCACGAACTGCTTTGAGCTTAGTCAAATTTAATTGAGTGCTCTTTTGGCGCTAACCATGGGTCGCCTGGGCCATCTTTATTTCACCACATGCGAATGGAGCCGACAGGGTACAACAAACAGGTTCTTGGCTAATATGACGCGTGTCCTAGTCCTTGGCTGTGTGTACCTTCGTCAAGTACATCGATGTATAGGACAGCTGCTTGCAGGATCTGCCTAGAAAGCCGAACATGATGTACGAAGTACAACAGCTTATGCATTGGAAGGTCGCACAAGCGACATGACGCTCAGGACTCAAGTGGGTCGTGAAGTTGACCAAGGCTTGATTCTGGCCGCTGAATGGCTCGGCATTTCTTGCTGACCTGCTTTTGCAATACAATGTATCTCCGGGTAAAAACCAGCTAACCACCAGGAGCTAACAGATTTGAGCATAGTGGCTGGAGATGTTCCACCACTCATTGGCAAGATACCTTATTAGAATACAAGCAATGCAAGGCAGGGCCCATCGTTACATGCGCAGTAAAAGGTCCAACCGTGAAATACATCATAACCCGTCCGTTGACGCAACCCTAATGGATCAGCACTCCGGATTGCCTCTGATTAGCCGCCAGTGGATCAAAGGGCCCTCTTGGCCCTCCTTACCCTGCTTTTTCTTTCCATGTTTCGAACACTGTCAATCTCCTGAAGATCTACAGGAGGTGTCTTTGTCTTGTCACCTCTCAACTGTTCAATTAATTCTTGGACTCACAGAAATGGCCTGGGACGCTTTAGAACGATCATAAACTGATTGGCGCAATATGATCCAGTTATCTTCCGACCTCGGGTTGAAGGTCTGTGTGGGGTGAGTATCTAGCAAGCTATCTCACATTGTTGGAGACTTAGGCTCATGATCGCATTATATGGGCAGCATATTTCTTTTAAGCTCGCTATTCCTTACTACCTCCTATAATACCACATACGCTTTTGGTGAGTCGTCGCCGTGGATATCAATGTCTTACAACTTGATCTGACTGTTGCGCCGGTATAGATCGCCCCATTAGTACATCAGTTCTGGTGTGTTTCCTTACGGGGGCCACTATTTTGGTATGGAGTCGGTTCATCTCATTGGGGTCGGCGCCATCCTCGCCGACAAGTAAACGGCCTGTTATCCCTCTCGCGGAACAATTTGAGCTTCCTTCCCGCGTCTCAACCTCATCTTTTGTACTGGGTGATGTCGAGACTCGCCCTCGGCTACGGGTCCAATCGTGGTGGATAAAGCTCGGTCTCTTATTGGGGTTGTGTGGCTTGCGAATCGAGTCTTTCCGCCAAGTAACTCGAAACACTGAATGCGCGCCTGCTGGATACGCTGTAAGTGGCTGAATACATTGTTTATCATTCAATTTCTCATGCGACTAATACGGCGTCATGAATAGTACACTATTCCTTTCGTTATTTCGCTCTATGACTACTGGCGCAACCATCGATCGCGACAAGTGGACAGATATGTCCCCACCCAGCGATTCGACAAGCCGCCGCTACAGGTGATATACTCCATTTCACGCCGGAGCTTCTATTATCTCACGCAAAGCCGCTTCAGAGGCTTAATTGCAGCCGCATTCTTGTCGACTGGTGGGCTCTTGGCTTCATCGTTCTCGGCTGGAACCCGGTCAACCTATATCTGTCCTATTGTATCAAATGGCGCATCGCACCTACGATCATATAGGCTGTTCAACCTCTTTGCTGATTCTGTTATACTTATCGGTATTACCGAGCTATGTCGGATTGGCACTCAATTTGATGATGCGCGCAGAAAACGAACTTTAACGTTCCTTGGAGCTGGTCTCTTGGTAAGCAGACGAGTACGATCGTGTGGGGAGTATTTTTTCTGATGATCTTTCTAGGGTCTTTCTTTGGTCTGGAGTATTATATCCATCTGGGTACCGGATAGCTCGCCTGAACTTGCAGGTCAACCAATGTTGGATCTAGAGTATTCGCGCGGCGCTTTCAGCCAGTCTGTGTTGGTTGTAATACTGGTATTGTCTGCCTGGCATATTGTTGGTCCTCCCAATTATCTATACTCATCTCTGCCAATACTGATTTCTTTAGTTGCCGCATTTCGACATCCTTGGGGTGTCAATTATAGGCGGTTTCATGATCGTATACTTTTCCTCTTTATCGGCTCTCACTGGACAATCACCCTTCCCATTTATCTCTCTAACTCATGCTGTTCTCCCGTTGGCGGCATCTTTAACAGGTACCCTCTTGTTTCTTCTTACGCGAGTGGTTCATGACGAAGAGCCGAAATTATATCGCACCAACGTTGCCATACAAATATTGTTTGCCGTGCTATGTGGGATCAGTCTCGTTTTTGCAGTGAGAAAGCATCGCCTTGATAATATACACCCGATTGAGTTCCTCATAAAGGATGGTGGAATTCATCATCACAACTATCTCGCTCAGGCGTCTAGAAGCAAGACTCTTGGCGACGCTGTCACCGAATACCAGAGGCGATATAATCAGCATCCACCACCGTAAGTTTTGAATACCCATGTGCACAACTCAACTAATCTTTGTCTAGGGGCTTTGGTGAATGGTATCAATATGCCACTGCCCAATCGTCAGTTATCATCGATGATTTCGATCAGATATACCATGATCTACTTCCCTTTCGAGCCCTGGCTCCGGAGCACATCCGTGCAATGACACACGAGCTAGCCACAAACCCTTTCAACGATCTCGGTGGGATCAGAATTCGCAACGGCACGGCCATGGTGCAAGAAGGCATAAAACCGACCCATGCGTGGATGGTGGCGGGTGCCGCGGACATGATGAAGAATTTTACCAAATATCTCCCGGATATGGACTTGGTATTCAATCTGAACGATGAACCCCGTGTTGCAGTTCCCTGGGAGAAAATATCGATGCTGAACCGGCAGACTGGGATGCAAGCAATGATCCCCAAAGAGCGCATGGTGCAGACATGGTCGAACAACCGAGAGGAGGGCTGGGACCCGATTGAACCGGCCGATCAAACCAACATTACCGTATTCACTGACGGAGCGTGGAGGGGTGTTTTCGACCCTTATGTGAGCGCTGTCTGCCCGCCGTCATCGAAGGTGCGCTCTCAGCGAATCTGGAACCGTCGTGATATATGTCTCTCATGCGTGGCTCCCCATTCCATGGGTCAATTCCCCCTAGATTTCAACCTCGCCTCCGAAATCTGCCACCAACCTGACCTTGCCTTCCTCCATGGTCTCCTAATCTCCCCGGCCTCCTTCAAGGTGTCTCAGGAACTCATTCCGGTATTCAGCCAAAGTGCTCTCACCGGGTTCAACGACATCCTCTTCCCAAGCCCATGGAACTACATCGACAAGGTGAAATATCAACCGACAGACGAATACCCGGATCTGGACTATGGCCAGAAAGAGAACTCTCTATACTGGCTCGGCAGTACATCAGAAGGCGTCAGCCGCTTCGGTGAATGGAAAGGCATGCCACGCCAGCGCTTCGCCCATCTAATCAACAATAACACCAACAACCAAGTCTCCGTCCTCCTCCCAGCAGACTCAAATGAGAACTCCTTCCAATACGAGACAATGGACGGCAGCGCCCCGGCTGCAGAGCTACATCTCCAAACCGCTGTCCACCTCGCCGACCCAATCGTCCGCTGCGGCGACTGCGACGAACAAGCTGCAGAGCTGGGCACCGCAGGCTGGGCAGACTTCCAAGCACACTGGTCGCACCGCTTCCTCTTCGACCTCGATGGCGCAGGCTTCAGCGGCCGCTTCCTCCCCTTCCTACACAGCCACAGCCTGCCCCTTAAAACGGGCCTGTTCCGCCAGTGGTTCGACTCCCGTATAACCTCATGGATGCACTTTGTGCCTGTCGATATCCGTCTCCATGGCCTGTGGAGTACGCTTGCATACTTTGCGGGCGTGCCTGCTGCCGCATCCGAGGAGAGTGATCCTAATGCGCCCCTGAAGATGCGCATGAAGGCGCATGATCAGCAGGGGAAGTGGATTGCGGAGGAAGGGCGGAAGTGGGCGAATACGGCGTTGAGGAAGGAGGATATGGAGATCTACTTCTTCCGGTTGCTTTTGGAGTGGGGTCGGCTTACGGATGATCAACGCGATGTTCTTGGGTTTGGGGCGTGAGGTTAATCTTAATGTTAATATGACTATTAGTTGGTACATATATTCAAGTATATATTCTTGTCTTGTATATCAATCGTAGTCTGCTCAGCACTTACAGCTCAGAAGAAATATATACAGAGCATAACCATGCTCATGATTGTTATTGCCCATTTTCATTCCATCATCAAGATGGAAGAGATATTCATAAAGTCATCATAAAGAATAAAGAATAAAGCCTATCAAATGTGCTCGTCCTCCCACAGCTGTGGACCAGCACAGACCATCGGAGCCCGGACGAGTAAAGAGACCGTAAGATGAACGAAAATCAAGAAACAGGCTGAAAAAAAGGGGATATTTACAATCGAAGATCACTATCGAAATGCAAAACAGATCGAACCCATATCACTTTCAACGCAGAAAACAATCCATCCATCAGCATCAGCATCTAAGCATGGCCATGCCTATGATGATTGGGCTGCCGGCGATGCCTCATAGAACTCCTAGGCACAGAGCGCTCGTACGACGCCGTAGAATTCCAATCAGCATCCACCTCCTCATCGTCACCCTCAGCACCACTCGTGGAGCTAGTCAAGTCCTGATATACCTTAAGCGACCGCACACTCCAGTATGTCTCCTGGAAAGCCGTGGGATTATTCTGTACGAAGTCGACACACGATGCGGCATAACTGGCACAACTCGACGAACCCCAAACCGAGCCCGCCCAGTCTCCACAGAAGGTAATATCGAACACGATCTGCAGATCGTTGAAATGCGAGTCGATGTCGCAGCCACCGGAAAAGAGTGCTGTGGGCGTGCCCCAGCCCGCCGGGTTTGGAGTTCCCGATGAAATATCAGCCGGCACGGCGTTGGAGGGGAAGAACCAGACTGATATGGCGGAGCCGGTCCATTCGGTGGCGTAGACGCCGCCTCCAACGTTGTTGAAGCCTGTGCCGTAGGACTGGGTGCTGTCGCTTTGGATTGAGCAGCCACTATTTGAGGATTGGCCGCTGGCTTGGACGTAACAGTTCGCTGTGTCGAGGGTTCCTGTGAAGCCGCCGTTGTTGATAGTGCAGCCGTCGCTGGTGTGCAGGGCCATTTGATTTTGGGTTTGCTCATTTACGCCTTCGATTATGTCGATTTCGCCGTTATTGGGCCAGTTAGAACCGAGCATCCAGCTGGAGGGTGTTAGCGATTTTCTTTTTCTTATTTCCTTGTCTGATTAATAAAAAGGGATTGCGGCTGGGGTTCTCACAAGGCGGGCCAGGTGCCACATGTGCTGCTAGGCATATGTGCCAGATCGAGAATAACAAGACCATGTTTGTAGGTAGTGGTACTTTCCAGGCGGACGCTCTGGCGGCCAGGCGTACTGGCGGTGTTGGAGTGGTCAACGCCGATGTAGATGCCGTTGCTCGTGTCGAGGAGACCATTGCCCGATGCGGTGTTCCGGTCGACATAGCTCACAAAACCATTAGTGGGGTCAGTGTCCTATATATAAGATGAGTTTATTATGAGGCAAAAAGTCGGGACCAATGCTGATAGACATACCGTGTAGAAGTTGAACTTGTCAAAAAACGAGTCGGTGGTACCATAGTCATCGCGTAGGGTGTATGCAGCGGAAGATACCTGCGCTAACAAGCCCACAGTGGGCAGAAGGGCTGAGAATAGCTGCATTATGCTTAAATGATAGGGGGTTTGTAGGATGTTTGTGAGGAGAAAGAGGGATTGGAAAGAGAGAGTCTGTCAAAGACTGGGAAAGATCTAGTATCCCAGATACTGATCACAATGGCAAGAAACAATAGAAGGAAAGGAATGAATACAAAATCACAATAGAGAGGGACAATAGGCCTAGGCACAATAACATGCACAATGGACTACAGATTGATCGATGCTTTATACAGGGAGAGGGACCACCTTTATACTTCAGACGCCTCCACTCTCCCCCAGGAAGAAAATGGTAAACAGGAAAAAAGAAAAAAGAAAAACAGAAAAAAGAATGGAGCAGCGTGATACATCCACCAGACACTCTAATCGAAGATATGCGGTTAAAGGGGGCATGTTGAAACATCTAATCAGTCTGACACCTCCGAGCCCTGTATCAATGCTGTCAGTAGATCATTTCGATCTTGCCGATTGAACCGGTCTATTCTGTAATGTGCTCAGATTGACATTCAGGGTAGGATAGCAAGCAACAACGTACAATGTTCACGGGTACACAATATAGTAGTGTATTCACCTTCAACCGTATCGGATCCATGGATATCTCAAGCGCTAAACACCAACCTTAAATGTTTCGGATTTGGAGAAAGAAAGGAGAGACATATAGATCAAACCAGTAATGTAACTATCCACGACCAATCAGAGTGAGTACCGCCAACATCTAAGGTTTGCATATGTAGTAGTAAAGGGAAGAGAAGGAAGATGATAGGTCAACAGCTGTTTGAAGACTCTCGGCCATCAAGCCTTTTTGGGCTTTTCTTTCTTTGTTACCGGGAATTTTTGTCAGGCAATTCTTCAGCAAGTGAAGAGTCAGATCGAGAATCTGAGGAATTAAAAATGAAGTGGCGGACTCAGGTGGAATTCGTGAACATCACCAGGTCTCTCTGGCCATTTTGAGGTACTTAGACACAAGTACCAACACATACAGATATACCAGTGGAAGTACATATTTTCATGTATCCCCCGGTACATGATCAGTGCTCACGGAGATCCTACCCAAAACTGATATCAAACACAGCAGTAAAATGACAGTGTCATTCCAAGATTCATCCCGGCCCTATACACCATCTATTGTAGATCACTACCAAAAGCAAAGAGCATTGGACCCTCTGGATCAAAATAACACAATCATAGAATCCACCTGGAAGAAAAGCCGTGCCATATCAGTGTTCCCGCGAACCCCTGCAGCGGGACCGAACAATAATCAGAGTAGAAATTTTTATTCGATCACATTGAGAGTACAGCTGAGCGCATGTGGGAAATGAGCTGAACAGCTGAAGCAAAGAACATCACCATTCGTATCACCTGTTCCGACGGAAGACAGACAAGACTAGCACGGATGACTATGACAGGGATAGACCTGGCTTTAATAGCACATTATATTACGGTCAGTTGGGAGTTACAAAGAGTGGGGGATAAAAAGAAGGAGAATGGCTATATGCAAGACAAGATGATCCTCATCTAGGGATATTCCCCGAACAGCATCTAAAGTAGGCAAAAACAAAGAGATAGAAAAAAAAAGTAACAAAAGAATACCCCTAGACACAAAGGAAATAATCATTCCCGGTGTCCCCCGAAAACTATGTACAGGCTGGGCAGAACAGCTCGGCCCCTGACCAGTCGGGCAAATGGTCGCGCCGAAACGCGGTTTCAGCGGGTCGGGCCCCCGCGCTGACGGCGTCCAGCACGCAGCGTCGGTGGTAGAGGTGTCGACAGGCGAAAATCACAATGGGTTCTGGGGTACTGGCTATGACTGTAGTCACGGTGCTAGATCCAGCTCCATCCTCGGCGTGGTCGTGGTCATGGTCACGATCATGGTCAGCATTCGCATCGGAGATACCACCAGCGCGAGCGCTATGAGTATGCGCATGCGCACGCCCCGCATCCAGACGGGACGGATGGCCGACTCCGACATCAGCAGCCTTGCCCTTCCCGCGCTCGGACGGGTCATAGCTATCCTCATTGCGTCTCGCGATGCGGTGGGAATAGGCATCGGCGCGTCGCGCTTCCCATGCGGACCAATGCGCGTCACCAACACTCGGGCCCCAGATGCGACGGCGGCAGAGCTCGCAGGTGTGGCCACGGGGCCGCCAGCCGTGCTGGCGTAGACGGGTGACTTCGTCGACGTGGACGAAGAGGTCGCGGTCCAACATGCCGTTTGCGAGGGTCAGCAGGGATTTCTCGTAAGAGTAGGCGGAAAAGATGGATGCTAGCACGGCGCGCAGCTCGAGGAGTGAGGGCGACCAGGTTGCGGCGCGACTCAGGAATGCGCGCAGGATGCGTAAGAAGGACATGTCTGTTCTTTCGGTTGTGGCTGGGCTGCTTTTTACTGTGCTTGCTAGGAGAGCTGTGAAGACTTGCTGGACGAGGGTGCGGAATGAGGTTGTTAGGCGGCCGCTTTCGCCGGTGAGGGATGTGGTTGGTTGGGTGGGAAGGGCTATTTGGGGGTTGTTTCCTTGTATGAAGGCGAAGACGTTGCTTGCGATGCGCACAACGGCTTCAATGTGGTCGAGCCAAAGGAGTTCTTCAAACGTTAGAGGTTGATCGAGAGTTGGCGCGTTGCGTTTGCCGTTGGCGCTGCTTGTGCGCGACTGCTTGACTGTCTTACTTTGGCCCTGACAGAGCCACGTTCCGACACCTGCATACTTGTTCAGAGACTCCATGAGGTCGTCGATTGCCTCGGCGGTAGTCGCTGAGTCGGGGCTCTCGCGCACGCTCTGGAGGATGCCTACCAGACCGGATTCGAGGGTGTTCAGGTGTGCGACAAGACGGTCAAGGGCCTCGCGGACTTGACCCTGTCGGGCGAGGAGAATGACGGCAGCATCGATAGCTCCGCTTTCCTCAATAAACGGGAGTAGTTCATCTAAGCGGATGTCACCGACTCGCAATCCGTCGACGAAGTCCGCCACATGAGAGGGGTTATATTTGCACAAGAGCTGCACATATCGCTCGATCATCCAGTTCTCAATATTGGGCGAAGATTGGGTGTCCGCGGTCTGAGCCTGCGGCTCGATGAGCACCAGCAAGTACTGGTACTGTTGCTGGGGATCATCTTGCAAAACCCGCAAAAACGTAGAGTGTGTTTCAGGGGCCAGGTCTTGCATCGTCTGTGCAGCGTGCGTCACGTCAATCGAAGCGATCTCCCGGGCATGCTCCTTGACCACATCCACGATACCGCGTCTCTGTTTTTTTCCAAGCCCAGAGCCTGGACGGAGGCAGTCATGCAGACAAGTGAAGATAGCATCGCGATCACTTGGATCCTCTAGGTAAGTCATGACCAACAGAGGATATTGCTTCTCTAGACGGTAGACCGACTTGAGAATCCGGAAGAATCGTGCCTCCTTGAATAGAGGAATCATGCTCTGGATGTCCGGTGGGTGGTAAAAAGACAGCAGATATTCTGCACTCAATTCGCAATCGTCTGCCATTTCCTGATCGGGATATTGGCATACACGGACCAGAACCTGGTGGAGAGTTGTGCCAGAAAGGAGAATATACTGTGGATATTTTGGCAGATTGCGCGCAACAAACATATCAAGGTATATGGTATCAAAAGGCGTGAAAAAATCGGCGGTCATGACTTGGAGCAAAATGCTGATGAGGTACTGTCGATTGATTAACATGCCGGACGCGGAGACATCCTCGCTCTCGGGCTCATTTAGGAAGCTATCCTCGAATGCTTCATTGAGCATGCTCATGAAGCTGGAAGCGTCAAACTTGAGCATGGCTCGAAGTTGAGAGAAGGAGTCTGCCCCGCTGGTGTCTCTAGGTACCGTACCGGACGCACGACCCGAGAAGAGGAATTGGTACAAATCTGTTTTGGCTCGCATGGCTTCAGCCTCATCCATGTCCTCACCGGTGGGATAGATGCGACCCGTTAAGATAAATGACAAATAGGGGAACATTTTCATCGCATTGTTCTGCCGTCTCATTTCAATCACATAGTCGCCGTTGGCCAAGGGCTCGGATTGTGAGGGAATCAGATGTAGTAGCTCTTCTAGGGGACCCACATAATCCATTAGACAGCGGTTCCATACATATATAAAGGCGTCGTAAAGATTGTGCTGCTTACACAGCGTTGTGACTTGATCGATGTCCATCGTAGTCGTGTCAAGAAGGCAGATGATCTCCTCCAATCGACCGGTCGAGTGAGTTCCAATGAAATGGTTGATCAAGGCCTTGACCGCGGTCGGGGGTAGTGATCGCAGAGTCCCATCAATGATACGCGGTTCGAGTGCATCCAGGAAAATGCCCGCCGAATCTTGCTCCTCATACCAGTTGAAGACTTCTTCCCAGAGGAACTCTTCGTCAGCCATGTAGATACAAGCCGCGATAGAAACATCGGCTAGCTCCTCTAGCTGCTGGTTCTCCAGTCGGCCGTTGCTTGCTTCGTAATTTCGACCAAAAGCATACTTGAGGGAGGCGGAAATCATTTCCAAAAGCCTTTCTTGCACAATGGGCTGTCTCAAAACATCCTCTTCAGGAAGCCCAACCGTCAGCTTTTCTGACTCTCCCGTATAGTACGAGGTTGCTAGTCGAATGGCCCCAATGAAGTCACCAGCCTCCATAAGCGCCAGCAAGCGATCGGCCCAATTTGAGAGATTGCCCACCAAGGCTTCATTATAACCAAGCAAGAACAAGCGCCCTTTATAAGAACGAAAACTCATATGGAATGCATCTGCTACCACTCCGTGCATCGACTCGTCCTCTTCGTCAAACTGTTCAACCAGTGAATGGAGTTGCGACGAGAAGAGATCGGTGTGATATATATGTCTGTTGGCGAGATCGACCGAGTCGGTCACATGCATGGAATAATCCTCGATAATTAGCAGCCGCTGCGTTATTGTGAAGACTGCGAGTACCGAGCGACTGAGCCACTGAACAGCCACAATGGCTTCATCTGCTCTCCATCTGCTGCGCGCTCTGAAGACAAGACTGGGGGGTTTGTCCTTGTTTGCAGGTTCGTCTGACTCGGCTTCTGAGACTTCGAGCACGGTCAGCACATTTGACCAGCAGTAGACAAGTTTTGTGTTTGAAGTTTGGGTGTCTTTGCCCTTCAGTCGAATTGCCGGAAACCATGCCAAGGCGCCGGTCATGGCACTGTGAGCGGGAACTTCCTTTGGTCTCGGTGCTTTGTGTTGGGTTTGTGCCACGGGTGTGGTGGACACAATAACAAGAAGATAGGGTGTCAGCATAGCAACGAGGCCCAACGAATCAGTGGATTGCTCTACGTTGCCGAGTGGCAGAGGAGAGAAAGCAAGAACAGAGCTAGGCTTACGCCGCATGATATCTGCCGTTGCCTGAGGATATCGACCCAGAATTCGAGTCGTCTTGACTGTTCTCCCCACTGCACCCATCCCTCTTGTTGCCAGGTGTGAGAACGACATGCCCCGTGTGTCAGCCGAGACCAGCGCGGTTCGCCTGGTGCCGAGAAAGCCGATATGAATGACTGCAGAACCTGAAAGATGGCCATCGGATATTCGAGTCTCGACTTGATTGGCCGGAATTGGCGGGATATGAAGGAAAGGCTTTGCCGAGCGCGAAATCTCCCAGGTGAAGATATCGCCAGAGTCATGCCCCCCTGCAACGGTAGAGTGGTCGGCGGAAAGTGCCAGTGATGTGACAGCACCGCATTCAACAGCTAGGTAAATCATCAGTACAATGCGCCAGAGGTGTACACGTCTTTTGACAAACCTGGTGTGCCCGTTCCAATAATAGTCTTCAGACTTTGCTGATAGTCAAACACGAGAATAATACCCTTGGATGTACCTATTACAATCGACGTGGAGACTGCAAGGCAAGTTGGTCGTCCGAAATTGCGCTTCCCGATTTCAGAAAACGCTTGCCCAGTGATTTTCCGAAGCTTTGTCCATCGCACCACATCCCAAGGCCCCTGGAGCGGTTCGGCTTCTGTTTCTGGGGTCGGGGAGACCTGGCTGGTTATTGAAGACTGTCTGGAGTGAAGATGCGCTAGGAATGGCGAGCCGGCTCTAGATAAACTTTGCGGCGATGAAGATAATCGGGACTGAAAGCGAAGGTCAAAGGGGCGACGAGCCGGGCTTGGGCTGACTCGCGGAGATCCGCGGAGCGCGAGAGCACTGCTATCCAGAGAGGACTGAAGAGAGCCCTGCCGTCAATCAGCTAGCTATCCAGGTTATGCGCCAATTGTACCACTAACATGTAGCGATGGGGAATCGTCGGGGTTTGACCCTGTTCCATCCGCGCTCCCTGACGCGGTCCAGTCCGCGTGTCGCGGCGGAGGGGTTTCTGGGAAATCGTTATGTCCCGCTATTTTCTCGGAATCGTGGTTCCCCGCTTCGTCTATCGTGTCCAATTCCTCTTCCACTGGTTCCTGCGGGGAAGGTAATGTTTGATCGAGGGCACCATGGTCGGGTTGTCGGTGATCGCCTTCGTGGCCTAGGTCAAGCTCGTCTTCGCGCGACCAACCCTCACTGCCCTCAGCCATCGAGCTCATGAGCGAAATCTCCGAATGACCATTGCTCCCCGTTATGCAGCCTAGGTGGAGACGAGGCCGAATCAGTGATAGCGTGTTAGGAGAGAACGATCGTGGAATTGATCAGAATGTTATTTCGGAGAACAGGAGGGGAATTATGAGGTACAATATAGAGAGAAGGAGTGGAATGTCGAGCTTGGGGGTATGAACACAGTGGAGAATGAGAGTTCAGAGCTCCGTTGTCTGGGTCGGGCCCGTCTTAGGGGCCGAACACCAGCCACAAGTGGCTGCCAGGTACTTTTCATGCTTTCACAATTGTACGGACAATGATAGTCAAAAAAACACTGACACATGGACTCTCTATCTTTAATCTATTCTCTGGTAATTTTCTGCCTTGAACTGTCGAAGAATATTTGAGTAGTAAGGTGGTTACACATCTTTGTGCAAGCAACATTGAACCAACCTTGAAGATATCGAGAGTTTCTCAATATGAAAGCTACAAATGAGTGCCCTCGTATTTTATCACGGCTATTTAGCTCTTTTGATAAGTGTCACCTTTTTTCACACTGCTTGGGACCGATATATGGAACATCTTACTATAGTCTCTATCTTGATTCTCTGTTTTATAGTCATACGAAAAGCAGATATGGGGTATGCACAAGCTTGATAGCCTTTCATATACACGTGCTTATCTCACATCATACATGCTGATGAAGAGTATGTAAAGTACTTAAACACAGAAGCTTTCCCGAAAAGAGTATAAATTCGTTGAAAACAAAAACTGGCCCTATATCGTAATATGTCAAAATCTAACTAATATAACCCGAAAAATAACAGCTCAACTGGCCTAGAATTTGGCGTGTCTAGAGGTTGTACTAGGAGTTGAAGCCCACTGGAAGAGGGGGTCCCTCGATAGATACTCCGTTGCCGCCCGTTCCAAAATCCATCTCAATCTCCAGCATGGATATGACGACGCGGAATCCGACGGAAGGTTAGGGAGTATCCAACAAAAGCCAGCAGCTGTATTGAAACGAAGGTCGAACAACTGAAGGTCCCCGAGTGGCCCAAAGTTCATATAAGGCGATGCTGATTTGATATCAGATACAAGAAAATTCACCCCCCACCCAGGTCCGAATGAACCCCAATCACGTTCGCGGGGCATTGTTGCGATCGCGCCCTGTGTATACTGCTTGTCTATATGTCCCGATGCTTCTTGAAGAGCCTGGGCAACGTTGCAGGTCCGCCAGATATCTTTCGGCCCTACCAAACTGAGAGGCTTTGGCACATGAATATTTTGTAAGGCATCAGACGGAGGATGCGAAGAGCCATCACACATGCTTTGGGCGACCGCGATAGCATTGCCGATATACCCCGACGTACGTCTAGTGCCCTTCGAATATTTTCCACGGTGAACATCTCTAATTATGTGCTAGTGCATTCTAGCTTTCCTGTACATCTGCATGATGAGATAATTTCTATTACAATTGAACCTGATCGGTACTCCGTGCGGAGTACTGCATGAACATAATCTCTGATTCTCTACAACATCACGTCAATCGGCGATTCCCAACAAGCGGTGTTAAGACAGTGATACGATATGAAGGGCCCAAAAAGACAAACAGCATAATACCATGTAATCTTCAAAGGCACATAACTTAATTCGATTTGCCAATGGCCATTTGTATGTTCAAGGGGAAACGTTGTGTGGCTATCTAGCACAGCCTGATGGCGCTGAATCCGATATCGGGAAGCAAATGTGTCAGACTGGTAAGAATAAAAACGAGAAGAAGGAAAGACTCAGTAGTGCCAAAGGTATGTCGAAGACTATAAATGAATTAATTAATTCTGAATGTGACGGGGTAGTTATAGTATAACGTGGGATATTTGCTCTTCGCAACACCATATAAATCATCGAGCATTGGCCTATGTTAATGACTATGAACCTCGATATTATCTTTACAGGTATCTAATTTCCATCGATTATGCAATGAGGCCAGTCCCATCCAAGCAGCGATTATCGATGTGTACTGAAGTCTGTCGTACTATCGTCTGAACCTACCCTTACCTGTAAAGCAGGTATTAGCGAGATATAATGTAACAAGTTTCCTGTCATATCTCAAATCGCTTGTGTTTACAGAGAATTCTCTAAGATCAAATATCTGGCGCACACGCTGGGGCCGTTTATTGGTGCATGACTGCGGTCACGAGGAGACTGGGATATTTATGGTCATGTTCTGCTACTCTATCACTGGAGGTATCGACGTGATTATAGTCAGTTTCGGTTTCTTTTCTTTTTGCTTTAGGGTTCTCGTTTGGTCATGGACCGGCATGTGGAGTGTATGTAGGAATAGGCATGAGCATACCACTTTTGCAGGGGCAGCTGATAATCATCTCGCGGGGGCAGCTGTTGCTCCTGCATGACCGGGGACAGTAGTTATGAATCACGGTGTCTGCTAAGACAAGAAAGAAGTCTTGGAATAAAAGGCGAAACAGCGCGCCTTCTCGCTCAGAGTCAAGTATAGTCCAAAGCGACCTTGAACACGATGACCAAAATCCACCAGAAATTGAGATGTACAATGCTGAGTACTCTCTTGCTACTTCAGCCTGTGCTTGCAGTGTCAGAACCAGGAATACTAGTACCGCGAGCATCTGAGCCTTCAGTAATCTCCTCGACCACTCCTTCGATGTCAAACCTAGCTGTGACAACCTGTAATGGCCGCTCAGAGTACTGCACCCGGTCCTACTCGAATATCACATTCGTAGGCTCCCACGACTCTGCCTTTGTCGGACCCTTACCCCAGCAGAACCAAAACATCGATATAAAAGCCCAACTTGACATGGGAATCCGGTATCTGCAAGTGCAAACACACCGCTCCATCCTTGACGGGAACATCATAGAGCTGTGCCATACCTCATGCTTGCTCGAAGATGCAGGAACACTCAAATCATTCTTGACGACTATAAAAAACTGGCTGGATACAAACCCGAATGAAGTTGTTAGTCTTCTCTTGACGAACGGCGACTCAATAGCAATCACCGAATTTGGAGACACTTTCTCCGGCAGCGGGATTGATAACTACGCCTACGTTCCCTTCGCAAATCCGCTATTAATATCAGACTGGCCCACACTGGGTGACATGATATCCAGAGGAAAGAGATTGGTGGTATTCCTGGGTAAAAAGCACCAATCACAAAGAGATAGGCTATACCTCGACTAACAATTTTCAGACTACGGTGCTGATACTACAAAAGTGAACTTCATTCAAGACGAGTTCGCCTACTACTTCGAGACAGCCTATGACGTCACAGACTCCTTTTTCTCAAACTGCAGCATCGACCGACCCTCTGATACCGCTGCTACAGGCCGTATGGGCATTGTCAACCACTTCCTTGATGTCGATATTTTCGGCATAAAGATTCCAGCTCGCCACAAGGCAGACACTACTAATACTGCAACCGGGCCTGGGTGTATTGGTGCTCAGGCGGGACTATGCGCTAAGTTGTATGGGAATGCGCCGAATGTGCTGCTAGTGGACTTTGTGGATAAGGGGGATGTTATTACAGCGCAGAAGAATCTAAATGGGTTCTAGATCGGGATTTGGGATGTCGTGCTATGGTTTCCCATAAATATATATCATATTGTAAGTTCATAATCATTTGTCTTGTTAGAGAAAGGTAGATAGACACAGACGTAGAAAAAAATTTCGATATATGAAGGCAAAGGGAAGCATCATCAAGTACACCCTAGAGCTTTTCTTGGGGGTTCTTCTTATATACACACTTACTACTAGAACTCCATTGAATTGAACGGTAATGCCCACTACTATTGTCATTGCTGAGAGAATGTCTGTACTGCTTCCAAATTTCGTGTAATTCGCACTTATGAATGTAGTAGAAGAACACTGAACTAGCAATAGGAAAACCACTAAATAATCTATTAAGACAAAAAGTTGTACCTGCAAATAAAATAGCACCAAACATCAGATATTGAAAGATTTGGATGAAACGGGCAAAATATTCCCTTGCTTAGATATCAGGGAACCCTGGAGCAGTGGAAAACACGAAAATTCTTGCCAAACACCAATCACTACACTAATCAAGCTCAGACTCGTCATCAGAGTGATCCGAATCAGGTGAGGCATAGTGAGCGTACAGGTGGCGCATCAAAACATTCGGATCATCGTCGTGCACGGTGCTGATGAAACAAGGAGTCTTGCGAACCTCCTCGGAGACGTTGGCATATATTAGCTCGATTGCACAATCGCGCATGCGCTGGTACCATAGGTACAGATTGTGACTAGGGGATAGTGGCTGAAGCTCCGCAGTCACAATAGGCCACACCGAGTGTTGGCGGAAGAGTAAGAGCATGGCGGCCAACCAGTATTCCCAGTTCTCGTTTCCAAGGAGGGAGGGTACTTCAATGGGGATGAAGTGTTTGTTGTGGGAAGTGTTCATGAAGAACCCCACATGCTTCGCGGTCCTGGCTTGCTCGGCTATGTTTTCAACTAGCGAGGGTACCGATGAGATATCATCGTCGCTGTCGGGGACACCGCGTGTGAAGATCAAGTGGCCCAGGTTGTCAGAGAATGTGCTGGAGACGGGATTGCTCGGTCGCTGGATCCTCGGATTGGCCTCGGGGATATCCTCCATTTTGACACTGAGAGGGGACGACTCTGTATCCGTGTTAGATAGGAGAAAGATCTATTCCCAACATCCGTTTTGAGAAGAGAACGTGGGAGTGTTGGCGGAATTGAGACCAGGCTTGGGATAAGGATACAAGGTGAAGTCGCCCTTAGTACATCTAAATAGATTTGGGAAAAGACTGAGATTATCGAGAAACTCACTTTTTGTGTTCCTTGTATTCAAGTTCGTTGTATCATTGGCGGGGATAGCGGGAGACTCTGTAGTCTTGTTGTTAGATAAAACCAGTCCCAGCGGCCATTTCGGGAAACAAAGATAGGGTAGCCAGTGGCATCGGCAGTGGGAGCATGACATAAGGTAAAATAATCCTCGGTATATGGCAGTAGGTACGAGATTGGGCCTGAGACAGGAGTCATGTCAAAATTGTACTCACTCTCGTTCCCATCATTGGCGAAAAAAGCGGGAGTGGGAGAAGACACCTCAGCTTTGATCTCTGTACCAAAGACGTAAGGATTAGAAACCCTGAATTGTGTAGCATCATCGAAGAAAGCCAGTTGAAGGTCTGTAAGCTGATTCCAGTACTCACTTGGGGAATGGGTTCCAGTAGAGGGCTCCGTCTTAGGCATTTCTGACAGGGAGCTTTTGTTAGCTCTCTCTAGGATAGCCGAGTGTATGCGTTTTTGCTTATTTCTAATGGGCGATGATGATAGATGAGGGGACAAAGCATGGGACATACCCTTCTTGACGCCCTTACGGGTGGAAGGTTTGGGAGGCATGATGGTTGATAAGTAGGAAAGGATTTTGATGAAACTCAGAGATAGCAAAGAAGACGAAATTTTGTGGGAGAAGGATGCTTTTGAGGGGTATTTCGTTTGCTACGGTGAGAGCCGTTTGTAGGCAACTGGGGATTTTCTATATTCGCTGCTAGTAACCGGCAGATTCCACGAGGTAGAACACAAGGCATAAGAAAAAAAGAGGTTATATTGTGATGATTCCATTGTTCATGTATAGAAGTTGGACACAGCATAGAACTGCGAAAAAAGAGATAGCTACGAAACAAGCCATCTGAGACATGGCATGCAGAAGGCCGTCGTTTGCAGCAAACGAGCCTAAAACTGAGGATTATAATCCACAACAGGGATTTCTGTGTCATTCAAACTGACAGCGCCAGGGGTGCGAATCCCAGAGTACTGATTGAGCCATCCCAAGACCTGTTGATGCCAGACGAGACTATTTTCCTTGTTGATGACCCTATTTGAATGCAATATAATTAGTTCTATGACTCTGCGATGATACATCCCATCCACCCAAAGGTCTCCATTATACTTACCAATGATTTTCATCGGGGAAACTAAGCAGCCGGCTTGGAACACCTCGCTCCTGCAAGACATTGAACAGTGCCAGACCCTCAGAGATGGGAAGTCGATAGTCCAAATCACTGTGGATAATGAGCTGTGGGGTGGCGAATTGCTTAATGTGCTCTGGAGCCGATGGATCCCATCGACGGTAGTTGTCTCGGTTGTCCCAGAACGTGCCATTGAACTTTTGAAGAGTTAGCATAAGAACAATGAAAATACCACGAATAAGATACATACCTCATGCTCCATAAACCATAATTCCTCAGTCGAGATCTTTGCGTCGGCGACAAATGTGCCATCGTGACTAGCCAGTGCCTTGAACTCGCGACCTAGGGGATTACCCTGGATCCAGTTGATCATGAAGCCACCGTAGCTGGCGCCAGCTGCCACTCCGCGGTCGGTATCAATAAAGTCGAAGTTGTCCCGGACATACTCCCAACATTTAACCAAGTCATCGTAAGGGTAGCTGCCTGTTGATCATTAGAAGGCGAGAATGAAAATGAGTGATGAGAATGGCATACCCCAATTGTTCGCGATCGCATCTGTAAGTTTATCACCAAATCCAGTGCTACCAGTCGGATTGGGCGCGACAACCACATATCCTTGGTCGGCGAAGACCTTGTAGTTCCACCGAGTGCTCCAGGAGTCACCCCATGAACCTTGAGGACCACCGTGAATAAAGAATAGAAGCGGGTAAGACTTCGACTTGTCAAAGTTCGAGGGATAGATGATCCAGGAATGAATCTACAATGTTAATATCTCTTCAGTTCCATGAAAAAACGGTAGACTTACATCTGTCCAGTTGCCCCTATAGTAGAACTCATCAACGTCTGATTGACCAAGGCTCTTCAGGGCCGGGTCAACTTCATTGGCGGAGAAGATAACACCCGTGATACCTTTGCCAGGCTTCGCGGTATAAACTGTGCGGCTAGTATAGATAGCGGAACTAGAAACCAAATAGTCTCCATTAGGCAGGCCATAGTAAGCAGCCACTGCGCCACCGTCGGTGAAGTTCTTCGGCTCGAAATCACTACCAGCATTGGCGGGCAGCAAGAAAAGCCGAGAACGTGCAGAGTCCTCGGTGTTCAGAACTAGGTTTTCACCATCAGCAGTCCACTTTATTGCACCAGGAGACCGGTCCCAATTCCTGGCCAATGTACGAATAGTATTCTTGGAGCCAATGGTATAAACGTAGACAATGCGACGGTCCGACTCGTAGGAGATGTCTTCCATTTGGAGATATGCAATGTGACGGCCATCTGGGGAAAAGACAGGACTACTCGAATCACCCTTGATGTCGTTCGGTGTACCAGGACTGTTTGGACCGTTAATAGCCACGGCCTTTTTAGATCCATCATGGGGCACAAGATAGATATATGAAGCAGTGTTGTTTGCACGTGGCAATTCAGGCGCCTTGCTCTTGAATGCAACCAATTTCCCGTTAGCGGAGATGTCATAGTCAGATGAATCGCCGAATGGTGGGTAGGGTGACTCAAGATTCTTCACTCCTGCGACGAGGTTCTTGAGAGATCCACTAGAGATGTAGCGGGATGTCGCTCCGTGTCCGGCTCGTTTCTTCTTCAGAGTCCCCGAGAAGATAGCATTGAATCTCGTCGTGAGCCAGGTATCCCAGTGGCGGACGTAAATACTATCGTAGATACGCGCCGAGCTTAGGGGCGTGGCAGCAAGCTCTGCATTGTACGCAGTGCCATTAGAGTAGGACTCTCCATACACCAAGAAGTTAATATCTCCAGACTTGGTAATGGCCGTCTTGAGGCCAGAAAGCGGCGCCGGCAGTGAAGCTGCCTTGTAGGCACTGCACAGAAGTTATTAACGTTTCATTCAAACATGTCATAGATAAACCCACGAGTTGGCGAAATTAGAGGTATCTGACACCCAAATCTCGGTACCTCCGGGAATCTCGGCGTTCGTGCCGTTGATATATAAGAGACCCGAGTCAGTAGACCCTAGCCAAATCAATTCGGAGACATTGCTGTCATTGGTAAGCTGTGTCACTTTCCCAGTCTCCAGATCCAGCAGACTCCACCATGACGATGTAGCATGGGTCTCGAAGGAGTATTCAGAGGTGGAAAAGAGTGCAACTTCCTATGTTAGGTCAATAACATTGTCGATATCTACATACAATTGTGCAACTTACCCCTGATGGGTTGGGAATAGCCTCACCGCGTCTTGGAGCCGCGATAAGCTGTCTACAAAAAAAAAATCAGCTACCAACCAATAGGTACAACGAATGAATCGGGCGAGACCAGCACTGACTCGGGAGTAAGAGCTGCCGCAGAAACGATGATCGACCCAATGGCCGTCGTCAATTGAAACACGCGCATATCGACAATGAAGTATGTAACCACACAGCCCAAGAAAAATGTGCAGAGAGCCAGATGGGCTGCATTCCGGACCGACACTGAAATATAAGTGTTGCGACTCCACACGCGTTGTGAGCTAGTAGTAGCCATGGCGGAGCGTCGAGGGGGGCATGTTACATTCCTCGGTGCCAAGAAAGATATGCATGATGTTATTTCGTGCTATCAGTTACTTCCAAGGCACTGGCAAGACGTGCTGCGGACAAAGAAAGGCGGGCGCAGGTCGACTCAGGGCCCGAGCAGGGTCCGGCTGCTTGGCTTGCAGCGCCAAGCATCGCGGAGTCCGCTGATAGCCCGCTGATAGCCGGGATTACCTGTAGAATAAAGTCATGATATTGGATGCCGATCAGCAGGGGCTTTGTCTTAGAAAGGAATAGTTGGATTAAAAGTGAATTGATAAATTGGTGCCAACCAGTTGTCATTGCCCCGTGATGATGCACCCATCTAAGCAATGGTGCCATTCTAGAAAATGCGTACGACTTGTCAAGGCCTTAATATCAATACCAAATGAATTTAATTACATTCGCTATAGTGCGTCTGACAATATCGTTTCAATATTCAAAGTCATCATCCACACCTCCCTTGCTAGTAGTGTCCTTGGTGACTGCTTCTTGTTTCCGATACATCTCTGCCACGGCACGGGTGGTAGTAGCCTCGTCTGGCTTCTTATCGTCGCGGGATTTCATATATCGCGGGAAACGCAGAGATACACCCTTTCCACCTCCGGTTGTTCCTTGGAACTCATCGGCAGCGGCTTGGTAGCGTGGGCTGAGGGTCAAATCCGCAGTTTTGACTTCCCACACCAGTCTTGGCTCAAACCAAACATCCGGTTGGTCCTTGGGGACGGCCGAGTGAGTGTAAAATGGCTTTGGGCGGTCAATTACCAGAGGAACTAACGTCTGATGTAGCTCTTCAAGTAGCACCTCAGAGAAGCCAGTGCCGATGTTACAGATAGTCTCATATGTGTCGTTGTTGGGGTTGTAGGCAGCGAGAAGGAAAGCACCGTAAACCGAAGTACGCTTTCCACGACCATAGTAGGCCCCGAGTACAACAAGATCAAGAGAGTCACCAACACCGGCGAGGTAATCTTTTTTGACCTTTGTATAAGTTAGCACGGTTGAAATAACCAACAAACAGAGGCACCATACCTTCAGCCAGTTGCGGCTCCGCTTGCTTGGCTCGTAGCCACTCTCTGCTGTGTCTAGCATCTTCACCATAAGACCTTCACAAGATGCCTTAACACTAGCCTCGAGCAATTCTTGGATCTCATCGAGAACATTAGAGTTGCCATACTGGGCAAACTGGAACTCCCCCTCAATCGGTTGGAAGCACTCATGCATAAGCTCTCGCCTTTCTCGTAGAGACTTCTTGACGCAGGGCTGTCGAAAAGTTAGCGAGAATAACTAGAAATGTAGCCCAAAGCGACTCGGTGTGCCTCCTTTCTCTCTCATCATCCTCACCATAAACGCGAAAGAACACCGAATCGTGAGGAAGGAGAAGAGAGGAAGAGTGATCCAGCGAATCGCTCTTATATAGACATCAAATAGAATAATAGTCTTACCTCTCCATTGAAGAAAAGCAGATCAAAGGCGTACACGCAGACCTTGACCTTGACATCTTCCGCTTTGACATCCTTGCGCTTGCGGGTCATCAGTTGCTGGAATGGAAGAACCTTTTTGGCTTCGGTATCCCATGCGACAGTCTCGCAATCCAGAACAAAGCTCTTAACGTCAGCTTTGACCCAAGTGCCAAGCTTGCCTAAAACATCGGGATACTTCTTTGAAAGATCTTCCGAGTTGCGGGAAAATATTGAGGACAGCCCCTTGCTGTCTTTCTGCAATGTTTCCAAGGCTCCAGGATACTGGTGCATAGAATCTGGAGATACAAAATGGATTTGTGCTCTTTCTCCATCGTACTTGTATTCGCAAGTGAATTCCTTCCCTTCAAAACGGTCAAGGACCTCGGTGATAGACTTTGTCGGTTTGGCAAGCATAGGCTTGATAGGAATTCCGGGAGAAAGCTTGCACACTTCAGGCA